GATACGTAAAATTTAAAGGGCTTCAGTTAACTTTTGAACTTTGGCAGTTTAATAAATGGAGATAGTAAATTGAAATCATTGTGATTGCCACTGTAATTTAATATTCCAAATAACCTTGAGATTTCTCTCGTTAGGTGTGTAGAGAGGCCTGGCTTCAGGACTTGTGACCGACCTGCCTACCAAAGGAGGAGTGGAAGCAAGCGCACAACCCTGGCTTTGGGAAGAAGCACCTGCCATGTATGATGACATGATTGTACCTCAAGCTGCTATCCCCAAGACAAGCCCAAGCGACACAATTGCAACTTAATCCTCATCTACAGTTAACCCTGTTTATTGTCTTGTCCTGTGGGTCGAATTAGTTTGTTCACTGGAATTGTGATTTGTTCAAGCCGGTGAATAAAATATTGTACTTACTTTATCCATTACATTCGTGCTTTTTCTGATGTGGAAGAACAGGAGGCTTTATTTCCCTCTGGTAGAGTTAAGTTGAAAATACAAAAGCCTTTGGCATGGCTCACTTGTCGTTGAGGCTCTTATATTTTTACTGCATTTTAAACCATGTCCAAGGAATCTGATACCACAGCAACTTATTGGGAGTTCGTCTAAAACGGTTCCTTGGCTTTAGATTCAAAAATCAAAGGCAGACATCTGAAGCTTGGGTCACTTATTCATAATGCCACTCAGTGTTTCACTTAACCATTGACTCTGAACTTGGAAACCTTTTCAGGTGAAGCCCCAAGCTGAAGGAAACTAGTTTCAAAAGCTGAAGATGGAAACTTAACAAAAAATATAGTCTCTGCTCAAAACTAGAACAAATGTGGTGTTACATTTTTGAAAAAATGACTGACAAATGGGGTATCAGAGACAAGGGGGTGGGCTCATGACTGCCTACATTTTGGGTTGAACAATTCCTTAAAGATTACTACACCTGAGATCACATGCCCCACAAACCTAGATATTTAACATTACCGTATATGCACAATGAAAGGCATTCCATTTTTGGTATTAAAAAGTTGGGAAATTAATTTCTCTCCTGGGGAAACATTTACAAATTTGTTCAGGGGGACATTTCAGTACTGATTCAGACATTGTGTTCGTGGTTGATGCAAATCATGTAGCCTCATTTGCTTTTGCCTCTATGTGCATGTCGACGGATACAAGGTCAGGTTGTGGGGTGTGTAAATACAAAACTGTCAAGGCTTTAGAGCCCAACACGGACAGCTAGTGTTTCCCGAGACTTAATGACATACAAACAGTCCTCCTGTTACCTTGAGACAAATGAAAGCCAAATGACATTTGTTTGTTCTACATCTCTGAGCTTGATAAACAGACACCTCATATTGACTGACATGCTTTCTTAGTTTCAATTCTTTCATGCTACTGGAGTTGCATTCAGTGTAATCACCAGTTATCTACAGTGGCACACGTAACGGTACAATGGCATCCTCCGAGTTCCTTTGCAATTACAAAGAGCCCATTTTCTTTCTGTTCATCTGGGGAACAAAAGAAAACTGAGCACTTAGATATGTGGTTCAGGGGACACAACAATAATAAAAATGCATAAACACAAGCTGCTGTGCTCGGCTGCTGATATGGAAATGTTTCCCATTAACTGCACTTCCCATTCAGCATCTCCAGGGAGAACAAAGGATAATCAAACCTTATGCAGCGCTGTTAACTTGAAGCCTGCAAACCTTAAGCTGTCGCGTGTCCAAGCAGAGGCCCACTGTGAAAACAAATATTGAACATCATTTGGTTGCTCAATAATACGCGATCAAGCACCCACCCTCGAGCAATCTTTTTCACGTGGAATCAAATTTGCGCTCTTGATTAAATTTCCTGCATGTTTTCTCATTTGCATAATCACAAACAGAGCTCCAATGGATGTGAACGAAAACACATGGTAATCTTTGGGACTCAAAAAGAACGAGCCGTCTTTCTGCCGTGATCGGGGAAAGAAAGTAGGTATGGATAATGCGTGTTGGAAAATGCACGTGAGCCATTTTCACACTGAGTGATTCTGCATTCATCTTCATTAGAGCAATCGATACGGCAAAATTGATATTTCGGCGATCTCTGCAAACCCATTATGTATTGTTTCGTGATCAATATGTCGCTCTGTAAACATGTAGGAGGGGGTGGATGTAATATGAAAAGAGTATTATGATCCTTTGGTGGGGCAGGGGTCTGGATTATGAGCTTAAATAGATATGGAGGGAATATCCACTTCAGTAATATCTTTGAGAAAGGCATTGTAATGATTTATCCATGGCAGCAGTGTATGCAGAAACCTGTGTGTGTTTTGTGTAAACCTTCCCAATGTTTTCACCTCTCCAAGGCCACTGCTGAAATGTGCCTCATGAAATACGCAACAGATTGAAGGCAGCCACAAACACATGCTGGTATTTCACAGATAAATGTGTTCTCCAATTCTGCCTAAGAGGTAACAGACACAATGTCTTATGGTAATTATTCAAAACCTGCATTTAAATTATTCCTATCAGTTTGAGCAGATACAGAGGGTTGGAAGAAAAAGGCATCGGATTTCTTCATGTATTTTACACCATCATCAATCTTTCATTTATCTTGTCAAATATGGAGTGAGTTTCACCCCAAGTGCATCACATTGTGTTCTGTTTTCCACAAAACAAGGCCAGGATCATAGCGCGGATGTATCTATGATTGTAATCATAATGTATGAAGCAGATTAGCTCGACGGGATGGTATAAATCACACATTATCATATCGCTAACTTCAGCAAAAGGCATGCCTGAGCTGATTTGCATTGCATAATACATCTTGCACACAAACATTGTAAATGGTAGTCTCACATTGCTAATGAGCCCACGCTGGAAATTTGATGTGGTGATTAAAAACAAAGTGACTTCCTCAGCCAGCCACCACTTTTCCTGATGATCCGTGTTTTTCTCACTGTAAAAAAAACAAACACTTACACAACAATCACTTAGTCTGTGTGATTCCACAAATCGATTTACAGGCCAGAGCTCCCCCGCTGATGTTATGCATCATTCCCCTGCTAATCTCACTTCCTTGTCCAATATACTCAAAAACCTCGAGGCGGCCGCAGAATTAGCTTTAGTTAATGGATGAGTATTAATCCCTCTTAGTCACAACAAAATTAAGAAATAATATGGCCATGAATATTTCAGTTGCTCTGCAGCAACACAGGAATCTGCTCGCACAATCTGCCCTGGCTTGCAAAAAAAGAATTGGCGATTACATGTACATTATTAATACCTCATCATCAAATTCATATTTTGCACCAGCTCTGGAGTGGAAATCCAATGAGCAGCCAATACTATTTCAAACTAACTTGCTGAACCTACAGAATGGCCTCTGAAACTCATCGGACCGGGCTTCTGTTCTGCCTTTATCACTCTGTCTCCTAAAGGTAGCACATTCTTATTAGATCCCTTAAAAATAGATGTGAAGCTTTTCAAGTCAGTGAGTTCTTGCAGCCTCCCCCTGGAAGTTTTAATTAGAACACCAGTCAGTCGTGTTATCATTGTTTCAAGAGGGCCGCTTCCACATTCCTGGGCTGCCCACTTCATCACAGGATCAGAGGAGAGAGAGCGCACTGTTTACTGCCTCATATTCCCCCCCGAGAACCACAATCTGGATCACTTCTATCACTGAAGGAGAGTCTATGTGCTGCAAGTTGATTGACAGAATACTTGTGGGGATATATTGCAAATGTAAAGACTAAGAGATTCTCTTTTTGATGTAAACAAAGCGGCAGTTTTACAGATGTATAGAAACAGACATGATGAGGTCTGCTGCTCTTTATAAAAACACACCATATCAAACATATCGGAGATACTGTGAATGTGATGATGTTTCAGATTGATTACATCACAACTCACTCGCTTCAATTGAGGCTACATCTAAAGGCAACATGTTCCACTTTGTCTAAGTAACCTTCAGTACAATGTTTTTCTTTATATCACTCGCAACCCCAACAGATGTGTCTTTTTACAGGAAAAGCTAACATCAAGATGTGGCTTTTAGAGATTGAAACAACTTAAATGTTTTCTTGGGTAGGAACCTGTCTCTTAAAGATCACTTTATTGTATAGCTTTTCTTACAATAGTGAAGAAATATTAGAATAGACTAAGAATGTGATAATTCCATATCATGTGTGATGACATAACGTTATAGTAAGTGTTGTTTCTTTATTATATCATTTAATTAAAAGCTTGTAAGTTGACATGATAGCAAGAACAAATATAAAACCATCAAATGTATTTGTTAAGCAAAATGCTCATTTTAGATTAATTTATATCAAATCACTGGATTATGATTATTTTTGCATTATGCTTATCACAGTTGTCTAAGGTGCTACTGGTCCCAAACAAAAGAATAATGGCCTCATAACACTAAAAGTAAGACACATATTGTTTTGCAATGTGGGTGAACTGACCCTTTAACAACACTTTATGGACAAATGTATGCTGGTGTTTTTTATGTAGTCCCACATTTTTACACATGCATTATTAGATATACTAGAACCCAGACATGTATTGTATGTTAGTTGGATTATGAGTCCTTGTTCTGTGCAGTTGCTGTGAACTCCTCTGTAAATGACCAGTGTTGCTTCAGTGAATTCACAATATACTGTAATGACGTCTGACTGTTATGAGGACATCATGGCTGACTTCATCTTCCAGCCTTCACTACTGTAGGTTTTGTTTGCCACTCTCATTCAGGAGGAAAGAAGGAAGGGAGGGGTCTTTGGTGTTTATGGACTGACCTGTAACTGCACTCTGCTGCCCCCTATCGAAGAGCAGCTCAGCATGTTGTGTTCAGGACTGATATGTTGTTTTTTTCTGGATTTTATGAGGTTTTTAATGCCAGGACTCACAGCTTGTCACAGCTAAACTGGAGTTTAATACACCGCGAGACATCATAAAGGGTTATTTCCTTCTATTAAGTTTACAATTCTGGATGTAAACAGACATTTGATTACAAAAAGGTTATAAACATATACAATGCAATGTCTTTTTTTCTTTCTTTGTGATTTTATTCAAGAAACCTGCCTTTTTATTTACTACCAATCAAATCCGATTTGGTCATTTATTTAAGAAATAATCAGAGTATTTGTTCCAGCTGTGGAAAATGTAAACATGAGGATCTGGTTAAAAGCCTTGCCTCATATAGGTTACATTTGAACATAATAGGATGCATGAGAACAGATTGTTCCTCCCTGGATAGAGAGGAGGGCTGCTTCATGGAACAAAGGGCCTCTGCTGCTGACACACAAGGGGTTAAGGTGTGTGAACGCCCGGGTTGGTGCTGATGGTTTTCAGGCACGATGATTAACGATATTGATCCACGAAACACGCAGAATTGTAATGTTTTAACACCGAGGGGGGAACAAAGAGCCGAGCCGTCCTCATCTAATTGATCGGTACTCGCGCTGAAATAATGTAATTAGTCTTTGTGCGCGTAATTATTTCTCTGCGCCCAAATCATTAACTATTAACAACTTTTTTTCAACAAGAAAATGCCCGAATATCTGGAATGATGATTGATGCAGAGAGAGCGCCTGCCTGCACGAAAACAAGTCTTTCTAAATGTGGCTTCTGAAGAAAGGGAGCTTGCTTTCAACCTGATCACAAACTTGGTTTTGAAGGCAGAGCGCCCCGCCCTCTTGGTCCTTATAACCAGAAAGCCTGTTCGCAGGACGTTCAAACATAACAGGAACACTGGAGACCGCATCGCTGTGCACGAACCATTCCTGGAGACCAACTCTGGCTACAAAGACTTTAACGGATTACTCTGGTTGTTTATCTTCATATGACCGCGAGCAAACGACCTGAAGTGACCATGGATTTTCTCAATCACAACTATTTGAACGCGCGCAACCCCTACGACTACACTTTTAATTTTTGGAACGACTATCTCGGGCTCACCACGTTGGTGACGAAGAATAACAAACTCAGCATGCCTCAGAATCCCAACTCCATCACAGAGTCCCTGAAAGCCACGCTGGGTTTGGATGACTCCCCGGCGTGTCCGTGCGTAATCTCGGGAGGAGTTGGAGAAAACGGGCACCTGGACTGCTGCTGCCCGTCTGGAAGCCCCCCTCCGACCTCCATCCTGGACCTGAAGGAGCGTTTCTCCATACTGAGCCCCTTCCACAGCCAGCTCGGGGTGCAGCTGCCGGAGAGAGAGGTGGGTTTCGGTGGGAGCTTCGCCGGGTTCGACCTGTTCGGCATGGAGAGGAAGATGCGTAAACCCGCCTCCAGGAGCAAGCAAGAGCCCAAAATCTGCGTCTTCTGCCGAAATAACGGAGCGCCAGAGGAGGTGTACGGCTCCCACGTCCTGAAGACCCCGGATGGGAGGGTGGTGTGCCCGATTCTGAGGGCTTACACCTGCCCCCTGTGCAGTGCCAACGGGGACAATGCCCACACGATAAAATACTGTCCGCTGTCTAAAGACCAGCCATCCCAGCGACCATTAAAGGGAGGGAGGGCTGTGGGGGGTAAGAGGATGAAAATATTCTGAGCAGATATGGCTACAAAGTTAAAATGAATTGCACTGAACAATTTCCAGATGACTGTTTTGATTTCGGCTCTAGCCTTTATCCCAGTTTCATAAACATATTGATTTCCTCTAAGATCTCTTATATTTTTATAGTTATCTTTTATCCACATAGAATAATGTTATGCTTTATACATTGGATTTATTTTTCTTGCTAGTTCATAGTCATTTGAGCGTGTGTGCATATAAATACATACCAATAATCACAACGTGTGAATACATTTAAAGAGTATTTTGGTCATGTAGGGAAACACAGTGACATTGGCAAAGGGGATGAATGTCATATTTCTTACCAAGTATTTTTGTACAGTGAGCTAAGCTCGCTGCGATTTTCTTTCTCGTCTTAGAAAACCAAAGTTATGTTTGCCATTAAAGAAGCTCAAGAATGTGTCATTCATGAGTGCATTTGTGCGTCTGAGTGGAGGAGGAACTCTTTGATCCGGTCTGCCTGCCTCAAAAACTCCACCACATATTTTCCAACTTGCTCCCAAAAGTTGATATTCGAGGCAGGAAGAAAAAAAAAAGAGACAATGTGGCCTCTGTTTAAGGCTCATGTTCTCTAGGGAACATTATAATCAATTGTTGCCAAGCCAAACCTCTTTTCCAATCCGATGTTATGAGAATGTTATCTGACTTCACAAGCAGTCAGAAATGAGATTTATTACATTTCTTTATGTTTACATTCCCAAATAAGGGCGACACACTGGATTTCCTTTCTCCGTCAGCTCTCTCTTTCTCTCTGGTGATCTTCTTTCTTTTTGTTTTGATTTGCCCAGACAATGTACCCACCACAGAGAGTCCCATGTACCTTACACTCTGAGCATAGGGGGAACAAGAGCAAATGAATGTTCAATAACATGTGATCCCATTATTTCTTTTCCTGAAGAATCCAAAAAAGATGCAAAAATGTTGTGAATGTATGATTGAAAGTGTCACTTGCAGGACTGCACATTTATGACAGTTTTGTTAACCAAAGGAATACAATTGCATTGAAGAAATAAGAGAGATTTGCTGTATTGTATATAAAGTGATGTTTATTCAGTATTTTAACATTACAAGTGACTTCAGAGGGCGCTACCTCAACAGGATTTTGTACTTACATGTCAAATGTCAACAGCAGTTTATTGATATAGTGCTGCCATTTATAATAAGGGTTTTGATAGTATTTTTGATCTTTGTATAACATAATTGTATTTTCATTTCGTTGCATTTAACATTATGGAAGTGAATTTCCAAGAAGCTATAAGCATTGCTCGCCAAAAGGTGATTGTCTGTACATAATGATTATACCCATACTTTTTAAAGTTTAGTTGTTCAATGTGACATTCTTGAGAGTGTGCAAGGTATTGAAAAAGGCTGACAAAATGTGCCACTTTTAACAGAGGTTTTTTGGATTAAATGAATAATAGAAAAAAAAGAAACACTGTTGAACTTTGTTATTTATATTTTACCACAATTTCCTGTATGCTGCTGTGCAGAATAACAACATATGAATCCACTAGAGAAATAAAAACCTATCAAATATTTGGATGTGGTCATGTTTGCTCAACATCTGACTGAGAGGGTGTATACACTTTTCCTAAGTTATGTAAGAGTGTAGAATTACTGGTTTATTGACTGTCTAAGCATTCTTTTCTACTGTTTGAATTTAAGCAGGAAAGTCAACTAAAAACACATTTACAGGAATAGCCCAGCCTTTCCCTAATAGGCCTTTGACTGACTGCCTCACTGACTTAATAAAACAGAGAAAGTGTTGAGCCCTCATGTATGCAACAAGACATTTCCCAGAGAAAAACTCCCCTCTAACCTTTTCTTTTGGACGAACTGATCCACTGCTCTGGTATCTCAAAGATTTGTCTCTGAAGGACAAACACAGAGCCACGGTTGTTCGCGGTTGTTTAGGGAGGTCTGCCCACACAAGAATGTCTTGGCTTATGCCTCGCCATTCAAACGGATCATGTTTGCACTGAAGTGGATTGAATAGCTGGCCCTTCTCCGCCTGCCATCTGTGGAATGGCTGCTGCTGCTGCAGACATATTAAGGGGCTCCAAAAACAGGCAGGAAGCTTCTTGTTTTCCTGGAAGGAGCTGTACACAGTCGTGCAGCTGTGACTGCTTTTTTGGTTTCCTACAAATGTCAAATCAATGAGGAAACAATAAATAGAGGAGAACCACGGTGTGTTTGTGAATGGCTGCCTGTCTGCGGCCTGTTCACCACCAACACAACCTCAGACGCCCCTAATTGCTGCTGACGCTGAGCATACAGGGCAAAAACACATCAAGAGCACTGTACATACATTAGCCCCAGGCATTCAGCTGGTGTCATCCACACCTTTGCCCCCCCACCCCTCCTCTGGCTTCATGCATCTCTCCAGCTGAGTCTGCTCCATTAAAAATGGATGACTACTAAGTGCAACAGGGATTTATCTCAGTGAGAACAGTGGTGAAAAAGCCTGGAGGGTTAGCATTTCAAATACAGTCAGCTAACAGGTCTTAGTCCCTGTACGCCGCGGCCTCCATTAGCCACTCAGCAGACTGGGTCCATAATCTACTTAGCTCACCATTTATGAGATATGTATCTTTCATGATCATATAATATGTTTAAGATGGTCGGTTTTTATGCTGTATACAATTTGTGTGCACAACAGATCTTCCTGCAGAGCTATAGGGGACGAAGCAGGTTTGTTTTAAGCTTTGCCATGTACTGAACTTCCATGTATTTGAATATGTATACTCTTATATAAATATTAGCAATGAAAATGTTTTAATTAATGGGGAGAATTATGCATAAGGTGTTGACTCAGAGTTATCTCCAAGAATGAGCAGCAGGATCCCCTCTGACAGGTGATTAGGATTCAGCTAATGCTCCGCAGCATTGGTTAGTCTTTGCTGTTAATGTGATTTAGAAGATTCATTAATTCACATTGCCCTTCTTACACTGGATGTTTCCTGTTTAAAGCGATGTAGTCACTATGCACTAGATTAGTGGTGCCCAACATGTTGTACAGATGTACCAGTATAGACCCATTAGGCACTGCTTCATGAAACCAGTCTGATAGATGGCGTGACTTCATGGCACCGCCCAGTAATATTTCACTTTCACTGCAGAGAAAACACAGCAGCTGATCTGAGTCATCTTGGCTTTGTCTAGATTTAGGTTTGCTTTGTGTTCTCTTTGTTGTTGTTATTGTTAAATGTGCATTTGTATAATGATTTGTCAATCATTAGGAGTACAATTAAATGGATGTTTCAACCATGTACCTATACAATTAGCTTGTTAAATGGCTCAATGCAGACTTTAAGCTCTTGGTTGATGTAACTGAATACATATATAAATAAATTAAATATAATACATACATTAAAGTAATATCAACACCATAGCCATATTTAATCCGATGTGTCTGATGCTTTCCTCTTAAAGAAAGATATTTGGATACTAAATCAAAATGTATATATTGGTTGTAATGCAGCTTAACCATCAAATATTTCTCCGTGGTAAAGGGCCCTCTTGGGAATAACTGCAGTATATAATAAGAGGATTTTGATTAGTCTGAAACTTCTTCTCTTGACCTTTTAATTTCACATTTCTCATGTAAAAGGTCACAGTAATATAGGTTTTTGTTGTATGCTTTCCTATAGTACACTGTAACGATCCTTAAAGGACAAAATGTATCTGTGCCATTTCAAAAGCATTCCTCTTTCTTTATCGAGCCCCTAAAGCAATGTTTAAGGCAAATTATAAGCATTATAAATAAGGATAATACATCTATTGCTTACATAAACTACCTGCAATCATGATATAAAACCTTCTTCATAGTTATAGTAATCATAGATGCTGTTGGCTGAAGACATGTCTTTTTTAGATTATCCATGAATACAGAAAAACTAGTTTAGACGCAAATTATTGTTGTCTATGTGCTGTATTTGTTGTAATAAAGCAGACTTATTTAAACCGTATGTGTCTGCAGGACAAAGCTAACCCTGAAATATCTTTTCTAAAAGACCCAACAGTACATTAGCATAGCATCCTTCTCTTTCATTGACCCGCATGTCGTGTTGAAGGCTGATAATAAGCCACAGATCTGCAGAATTCATGTATGGGTCCCGTCCTTTCCCAGAATACACATGTAATGAGGATGCTCCTGTCGCCTAGCAACTCCTGGAGATAAAATTGGACAGCAGCTGGGCATGAAAGTCATTCGAGAGAGCGAGGTAAAAGAGGATATCATCTCTGGCCTATACATTAAATGGCTTATTGGTGCTGGTTTGATTTTAAAATGGGAAGGACAAAAAAATTGCGGAAAAAAAGGGTTTGGGGCATAATAGACATCCTTTCAGCACCTTACTGCTCCCTGTGGTGACACAATTAATTACAAAAACATTCATACCTGCTCTGTGACACTTCATAAATGCAGTGTTATTAGAATCCAGCGATGTGGAAGGGATCATAATGACGAGTGTGGTGTTATTGAACTCTCTGTCAACAGCGCTGACCATATCTCAGCGCCGCGATAACAACTGTGTCCCTCCGAGGGCAGATTACAGCTTTGATGCTGTAATTGAAATTTCACAACGGATTTATTTGAAACCAAAACCCGTTGCCGTTTAAGTGAGGCGGACAGGTTATTAAGTTTCCTTCACAGCATGATCAGCTTATTTCTCAGGGGCTGTTTCACTGGTGCAGATGTACTGTCAGTAGAAATAATCCTCCAGGTGTACCCAGAGAAGGCAATGTCAAGTAATCTCAACATTTATTCAGCGTGTGTGTTCTTAAAAAGGTGTTCGGCATTTGAAGCAAATACTCGTCTGTTTGGCTTCAGTCATCGCTCTGGGTAGTCTCAGTTTATCCTTTTTTATTGGCATGTAATTATATAAGTCAATGAAATAAAACAAAACAGCAGGAGACTTGTGTTCTGCTTTTATCTGTGCCGTACATTTTCAAACATAGTCTTAGAATCAGGAAGATTTTAATTTCCTCCGAAAATTGTTTCCCAGAAAATAATCTCTAATTATAAATCCAGATTAAATTAACTAATATTATACTGATATAAAAGATGCTTCTTTCCTTCACTCTATCAGAGAATCATAATCAGAATACGTTTTGCCGGAAGGGGAAATTGGGTTTTGTGACATTTGCCCCATTTCAGAATAAAATAAAAATAATAATATTTATTAAAATATAAGAAGTTTAATTGGAAATGTGCAATAAAAAGATAAAATAAAAATAAAGTTACTATATTTATATAAACATAACATTTGTAAGTGAAAATGTGTCATAAAAGAGAAATGTTCTGTATGCAACCATTGCCTTTCAGCTCGCTCCAGTGTTAGTTCAGCTCCATCACTAATCCCTCTATCAGCAGAGATAATCAGGGCTGCTGAATGTAACAGAAATACACAAACAAACATGTCAATAAACTACCCCACTGAAAACAAGACTATCTTATTGGAGACCAAAAATCACTTATTTAAGAAGTATTGTTTTTGATTACGGCCTTGAAGAATATATTATGCTGTTTTATGTTTTTGTGAGATTTATGATTAATGATTTTGGACCGAAGAAGAGACACATTATTTCTTAATCCTGGCCAATAAGAGCTCATTGTAGGTTTTGGAAAGTTGCAATTACAGTAACTCCAAATTCCTATATCCTAAAAAAGGTGTGAAAAAGGGGGAAGGGGTTTTATACTGCTTAGTGATCTGACAAGGATATCATTTAACCCATCCTAGTACCAGGAGTCTAGTACTAGGAGCAGTGGGCAGCTATTGTACAGCGCCCGGGGAGCAATGGGAGTGAGGGGGGAAGGGGGATGTCCGGTGCCTTGCTCAAGGGCACCACGGCAGGGCAGGAGGTGAACTGGGACCTCTCCAAGTAGCAGTCCACACTCCATATTTTAGGTCTGGTCGGGGACTTGAACCGGCGACCCTACAGCTCCCAGTCCAAGCTCCACTGAGGAACCACGCGGAAAGTGCATTCACACTATGTTTCCATGTAATTGACCAGTTTTTTGATAGTAACTGAAACAAAGACCACATCGATTGTAGTATTACTAAGTGAGCGCCGGTTTATGGCTATGACTCCAGGTATTTGCATGGTTGTGTTAGGGGTGCGGCAGAGATCGATCGTGGCTCTCTGCTTCACAAAAGCAGCTCATTGGCCAGAAGCCTTGGTAGAAATTGTTCAGCAGGTCAAAGCGCGACAGGCCAACCCCCTGAAACTTTTCGGCATCTCCTAGACAGGAAAGGAATGGGAAAGATAAATCTTTTGTTGGGCGGAAAGTCCCGTAGTTCTGGTTGGCCCCTGCTTTACCCTAAAAAGGGACGTGACTAAATGATGTGGCATTATTATGTTGGGTTATTATTAGAATAGAGAAGTAAGATTTGAGTAAAAGGATTTGTCTTTCCCACTGTGTTTAAATGTAGTTGTTTTGTCTGAAGTTAAATGACAGAAGAAAGAATGCGCTGAATAAAGAAAGAATATTCACCATAAATAAACATTCATGTCGTATTTTGAAGCTACAAAAGTT